CCTTTAGCGCGTAACTAATGCACTAATCGGGGGTTGAGGAGCGTAACAGACTCCTAGAATTTAGCCCACGCAGGCTGACCGGGTCTTCAAGACCGTTACAGCCAAACTCCATTTGGTGAGACGAGCCTCCCTGCGTGGCGAGGTTCGTCAGATAAGATGAGCCTTGATGCGCAGCGAGGTTCGTCTGACAAAGTGAGTTTCGCTATATGGTAAGCTTCATAGCGAGTCTCGTGGACTTCTTCTGACAAACTTCGTCTTCACTGACGAGCTTCATCTTAATAATAAGTTTCGTCTTCACTGACGAGCTTCGTTTACTGAAGGATAAGGTGTTGAGAGTCTTGTCTCTAGGCGAACTTCGTCTTGAATGACGAGCTTCATTCTCTAAGAGGTTCGGTACTGTTTGATGAGGTACGTCTACAGATGGACTTCGTTTCTTGAATGGGCTTTATCTTCTAGAGGATTTTTGTCTCTAGGCGAACTTCATTTTCGATGATGAGATCCGTCTCCAATGACGAGTTTGTTGGCTGGATTAAGGTTCTTCATGATGACGACGCTTGTCATGATTGTGGCGAGGTTCGACCGTGTTTTGTTTCTTGGCATTTTTGAGTGCCTACAATAGCCTCGTGTATTTTATTCCTATTTTTCTTCAACTATGTTATCTAGCTACTTCTAATCTGAAGTGAAGCCTTACCTATCCAATTCATACCCGTACCTATACCCGTATACATCCTTGGACACTCCTTGCATATAGACATACATTTTTTTGGGTATGCTTAAAACATTTGTCATGCTTTTTTGGACATACATCTTACACTTCATATCAACTTCTTGAAACTCATTGGACATAGGTCAACTTCCGAATTATGGTTTTGAAGGGTCGTTTGGATGTCAAGTTCAAAAGTGATTGTCAAATTTATAATCCACATAATAAAAGAAATACAAACTTGTTATATGAATTTTTAATTATCATCATTGTTCTCATAAATTGTTAATCTTAACATATAATATATGAATATTTGTATAGCCATGTCCCCGTACCATACCTTTTACAAATTTGTCATGCTCCGTACCGTACCCGTACCCGCACCCATACTAATACCCGGACCTGTGCCCGTATCCATGCAATATAGTCCTTCGATATTAGTACTAAATTGATTTTTTATTTGGAAAATTATGAACTTCGCTACTATTTTGGATGTGTCAGGCTGCTAGCATTAGAATTAAGACCTTATTTTGTGATTAGAATTGAGACCTTATTTTGTGATTTGATAGTAGATGTTATTTATCTTAACACATTTTTACATGAAAATTCATAAACATGTACCTTCGTGGTTGATTAACTATCCTTAAGAATTATGTGCAGCATGCGTCTCACTTCACTCGAGTGCGCGCATCAGATTGCACCCTACATATTGCGTGTAAAGGGCTTTGAGTCTGACATTTCACCTTGGACATTGATAACACTGTCTACATGTTTTGACATCACAAATAAACTAGCTTTTTAAAGTCCCATTGTAAAAAAGTTGGAGAGCCCTAATTTTTAAAAAACTAGCTTATAAGCTCATCTATATAGGCTAGGTTTGACCAAGCAAATGACTTTGCTATCCATACCAGTTTGCAATATTTTTGTCATCAAAGCCAAAAGCGACCAAAAGTTGCATAATATTAGACAAGCTTAAAGAAATAAGCCCTCCCAAACACCCTCATATTGAGCTCCCAGACAATAACTTGACTGAATTCCATTTTTTTACCCCAAAACCTTAGATATTGTTGGCAAAAGCTGTTGCGACGGAGCGTTGCTTGAATTTCCGGTCCTCAGGTTTTATCCTCAAGAAAGTAATCAATTCGAAGGAGCTTCAAAATAAAGAATTCAGCAGCAGTCATCATAATCATCATCATGGTTTCATCTAATTAATGGTGCCACCTCATCCCGATTCTCAAAATGTTAAGACAGTTCAAATCTGAATGGTTTTCTCTTGTTTTCCCTCCGTTCAGTGAGATTGACAAATTTGAGTTGTTGAAGATTAGAAGTACACTAAGAAAATAAGATCGATGTCACAATGGATGAGAAATAAAACATAACTGTATAATGTTGTGAAAATATATAGTGAGATTCGAAATATACAAACTTGAATCACCTGATCTATAATATTACTACAGGCAAAAGGATACAATATGGTTATTCTACCATGTAGCACCTCTCCTACTTCCAGTTAATTTATTTCCTTTCTTGACGCCTGCAGGTCAATTTTACAACTTCGATATCATCCTTATTTTCTGATTATTTCTGGAGCACAAGCTGCGATATTAGGTTACCGCAACCTTTTTTAATGTTTATTCTGACTGTATATTAAGAAATTAGCTTGTAATGCTAGCACCGTTTGGGTTTGAAGTCTAAAATTAAGTGGTCATCTTCAATTTGGCCATCTCAATTCTGTCTTAAACTAGGGGGTATGTATTCCTCCTCGTTACATTATTTTCTTGATCAAAGTAGATAGTTACATCTAGCTGCCTCTCTTTCTCATGTATTGTCAATATCTTGACAATGATTTATCGCATATTAACGTCGCTATTGAAATTAGACGTCAGGTTGATAGTCTTGTTGTAAAAATTTCAATATTGTCGCTTTCTTAAGATGAAATTTTGGTTAACCCAACTCTGAAACTGGAAAGGTCTGTTATGTTAGGTTTTACTATACCATGCCATTTACAGGTTTTCTCTGGATAAAAATTAGCTGTTTTGTATGGAAGGAAGTGGTCTCATTTGGGGAATGAGTCAATATAGAAAATTCACCTGTAACTCCAATTTTCAAACATAAGAGACCTAATCTTTACACATGATGTACGATGTACAAGGATGAGGTTTCAATGTGAACAAATTACAGAATATTTTAGGGCTCTGTTTGGTGGTAATTTATGGAAGCAAGGATGGCAAGTCAAGAATATATGTTTTCTTTTCATTGGCAAGTGGAAAAAGATGAAACTCTACATAGTTTCATGTTGGAATTACTGTCATATTAGGATAGTGAAAATGGGAGAAAAGGATGCGGGTAATTTATTTCTATTTTATTTATTATTATTATTAATTTTTATTTTTATTTTTATTTTTGCTTTCTTGTTTTCTTTGTTCTCCCCTTGCTGTCGTCAATGCGAACAAGTAGTCCTAGGACTTCCTTTGGAACTCAAACCTAGGAGGGTTTTCTCAGGTAGAGTAACGTCTTAGATCAATGGTGTATTTGGCAAACTCTTAAAAATAGACCAGAACTAAACCTGACCCAGTTTTGAGTTTGCTTTTGATTGGTAAAAAGTGGACCAGCTCTGGCCTAGTTTTTCTTAGGCCAAAAAGAGGCCATAAAACCAGTTTAGCGTTGCACAAGTGGGGTGGTGGTCCAACACTAAATAGGGTTAGAATAGAACTGGGCCAGCGTTAAACCTACCCTAGTTTTTAGGTAATTGCCAAACACACCCTAATATTTCATCCCTGTTAATAGCATTGCTATACTAGTAAGGTGTATAAACTATTCAATTAAAAACTTTATGGTGTCATTTGGCAGGGGTTAAGAAAGAAGGGCCAAGTAGAAGGATTAAATTAGTTAACCTGTCATGAGGGGTTAAATTTTATTACATCTTGTTTGGATTAGATAGTTTAAAGAAGGATTAAGAAGGTTTATCCTCCCAAATTTTTTAAAAATATCAATTTTAACCTTATCAAAAGTAGATAAAATGACTAATATTTGTTCAGAAATATATTTTGACTCCCTATACAAAATGTAAGTACATGATAAGTTGGTTATTATGAACACTAATTATCTGTAAAAAAATAGAGAATTTCTACATTCCTTTTTTATAACATTCTTTACATCCTATATTACAGAGAATTTCTACAACTCACCAATCATAATTTTTCACTCAGTGGACTGCATGGAGGATATTTATTATATTAATTATACTAAAAAAGGTTTGATGTCATTGAACGATCCAATTCTATTAATCAATGTAATCAATTGCAGACATTCTCTATAATCAAGAAAGTAGAGGATTTGCCCAAAAAAAGTATGAGTCGACCGACTATTCTAATTCAAATATTATAATATATTAAATTACATTCCACTCTAGTGTGGACATGCATTAAAATATTATAATTTTTTACGTGGATGATCCTAATCTATTTCAATATTAAAATATTAAAGAGCCTACACTTAGGTAACACAGACTTTGATTGGTCATGGTCATTTAAATTGTTAATATTGACTTACCTAAGCTCTAACTACATGAACATTAAAACAGTGTAGAGCCATATCAAAGTTGTATACCCTCCCTATGAAGAGGGTTAAGCTTTACACTGCCTTAATAGGCAGAATAGTTAAACTATCATTTCAACAGGTTAACTTGCCTTAAACCTTGAAAATGGGCTAACAAACCCCTTAGACATAGATGGGTGTTTGGAAGGTTAGTGAAGGGTTAAACCTCTTTAACCCTTCTGCTAACCCTTTGCCAAAAGCAGCATAATATGAATAAATGAGGGATGAAATCTGGATTCAAGAATGTGTAGTAGAAGAAGAAAACAGATAGACTTTGTAAGATTGTAAGGAACAAAATGACATGTTTATTATGTTGGATTCGGATCCTCTCCACTACAAAAAAAATAGTGGAGGGAACACTACATAATCATAGCCATTGATTATCTAGTTGATGGTTATGATTTTTTCTTTTAGTGCAAATTAGGAATGAGTGCAATACACGGGGGTATGGTAAGTGTTAGATTTAGATTGTATCATAACCGCCTACTAAATAATCAACGCTTGAGATTAAAAGTAGTGGTCTCTCCACTACTTTTTTGTAGTGGAGAGGATCCAAATCCTATTATGTTAGCACAAAGATAGACTAGTTTATGTTAAGAATAAAAATAAACTGTATTACTACACTAACATTTAAGATTCTTTTCTTTTCTTATCAAAAGTTACATTCAAATCTAAAACCTGATACATCCTGTAACCCAGCCTTATTAGCCACCAGAATTACATTGTCGAAAGTTACATTCAAACCTAAAACCTGATACATCCTGTAACCCAACCTTATTAGCCACCATATTTACAGTGTCGCAAACACAAAGCTTTGCTTACATCTATAACGTATTGATCCCTGTTTGATATCACACATCCAAGCTCTTCACAGATCAAAAGAAAAAAAAAAAAGTTTTGCCCCGCTTCCTACTTCTCATCACTCATGTTGCCATCTGACCTCCAACTCAACATGAAGAGGAAAATAAGAGCGTAAATTGCAAATAACCCCCTTCCTCATATGAACACTTATCAACCTTCGAGTTCGATAAATGCTACTAAAGATATAGACGATGAAGGTTATCTACAAATTACTCGAACGAAAAAGAACTCACACCAATCTTAGTCATGTAGATTTAGACTTAGAGATGACGCTAACCACACTCCTAAAATGATCAACATCACAAGTAACCCTCAAAACTCCACCCCTTGAGCTATCTCCAAGCTCATCGGCGGCCATCTCCAACAGAGCCACCATGCTTGGATCATTGAAGAATTTGACATTGACGGCGAACCTCTCCACCTCCTCTCCTCTCCCCACGAGCACCGGCACATGCCCTTTCCGTGCTCTCCCTTGAGATTGATCCTCAACCAGCCTATGGTAGTTCAGTGATCTCTGCCTCTCCTTCCCCTTGTTCCCCATTGTTAACTAGTTCCTAGCACTTTTGAGGGATAAGTATTGTGGTGTATAGTTACCTTATTTATACAAGAGAATTAGGGATTGCTTTGATTGATTGAATGTTGAGTGATTGTTTTATTGGTCGTAAAAGTGACTTTGACCAAGACTGAGAGAGGTTGGCTGTTCTTTTCCTGTGTGAGATGGCCGTTTGGTTTGAAAAAATGGGAGGGAACAAAATAATATATGGTTTGTTAAGGGTATGGTGTTCATGTGGAATTGATTAATTATGGTTGGGCAATGTGATTTTGGGGTTTGGATCGTTAAACTAATCTATCGGATAATATGCGGAGATTATTGAAGTCTCTTCCAGTAATACATCGTAATTTCGAAGTTACGATGAATGTTGAATATTTGTCCTTTTCAAAGTCGAATTGATTGTTTTACGAGGTGTAATTTCAAATATACTTTAAATATGTATTATTTATGATTTAAATCTAGATTTCTTTTATTACCATTTTGAAGTTATTTCTGCTGTTGGATGTTTTGTTCATGAAAAGGCAATTTTGCCTTTGTGAATAGTCCTACATTGGAAAATGAGATGAATAGTATAAGGTATATAATGGTTCTCTCATTATTAGGATTTGAATAGTGTTTTGGGTTTTGTGGGCTTTGCATATCTATCTCACACACGCGCGCGCACGCACGCCACACCTCGCCTCGCCCGCACGCGTGCTCCACGGCGCACCGCACACATTTTTTGCTTCTCAAGCTTTTATTTTTGCACGTTTTACACGTTTTGTAACGGCTGCATGCGGGTAACAGAAGCAAGATTTATGCGTAACGGTCCCTTGGATTCAGCGGGAGTTACACTTCTCCTCACCTATATAAGCAGGCGTGGAGCTCATTCAGAGACACACCAACGAAGAGAAGAACAACTTCTAAGCTATCTTCTTTCTCTACTCTCATTTCTCCAAGAAATTTTGGCTACATATTTACATTTATACTTTGAGCAACCGTTTTCGTCTGAGCATAAGCTCTGTGACTCATGCCCGAGTGCAGAGACCGGCCGATTCTAGGGTTTTTACCGTTAGGGGAGAGGGGACAAATTACGCCAGGACGATAGGCGGGGCCTCAATCTAGGGTTTTTACCGTTAGGGGAGAGGGGACAAATTACGCCAGGACGATAGGCGGGTCCTCAATCTTCTAGGATAGTGACATCACGACTGCTCCCGACCAGGCCTGAATTTTCTAACTCTTTAATTTGTATTTTATATTATTATATTCCTATTTTGACAGCAATCTAGAAGATTGAGTATAATTTTGCTGTTAATTTAAATCTGCAATTTTAACCTATAGTTAACTGTTTTAATTGTTAACTAATTTTGCATCTAAATTAGTAGATAAAAAAAATTATTTTGCTGCTTCTGTATTCAATTTCTGTATCTGTCAAAACAAAAAATCTTTAAGTGAACCGGTTCAAGTTTTCTTGGATTAGTTAGTGTCTAAGGCAAGGTTTAAGGGTTGCGTAAAGCGCTCTGCAAGAAACGAGGTACTTAATAGATCTTTGATCAACCTCTAGTACTATCCTTACCTGGACAAACTACCCGAGTAAAACTTTAATCTTTTCACTTTTAGAGTTTTTGGTTAAGAGCAGGTTTAATTAAGTTTCTGGTCTAGTAGTATTGATAAAATCCTTTATTTGATCAAATTACATCTACCTAGACTAGTAAACTCAAATTGGACTTATGGCAATTCCTGATCATTCAAAAAGTATCAAACCTGAGAAGTTCACCGGTATCAACTATAAACGGTGGGCTAATCAGATGAAATACTGGCTCACTACCTTAGTTCTTTTATCTGCTATTGACACTCATGAGTCTTCTACTAGTGATTCTCAACCTTTGACTCCTGATCCTACACAGTCTGCTCCTTTCACTTCTGGTTCTGGTGCTAGCTCCTTTTCTAGCTCTATGAAAGCAGAAGAAATCAACTATCATTGTTATCATAGAATTCTTAGTGCACTTGCGGGCAACCTTTATGACATATACTATGAGTTCAAAAGTGCAAAAGACCTATGGAATGCTCTTGAAGCAGAATATGGCTATGATGATGCCGGAATTCTGCGTTTCACCTCCTCCTCCTTCAATAAGTTCATGATGGTTGATGACAAGCCCATTAATGAAAAAATTCATGAATTCCTAGATTTCCTCCGTCATCTCCAATCAAAAGGAAACACTTTTACTGACGATTATAAAGTTTCCTGTTTGATTGATAAACTCCCTCCCTCCTGGTCTAGATTTGCTAGAGATCTCCGACACAAACAAGGAGATCTAACCTTAACTGAAGCCTTCAAGGCTATTCGTATTGAAGACCAGCATAGGCAAAATTCCAACACCAAGAATGAATCAAAAGCTAAAGTAAACTTGGTAGAGGATAAGCCTAAATTTAGGAATTTCAAACCCAAAGGGAAGAAATTCAAGAAAAACCAACAATCTTTCAACAAATAAGTCTGATGGAAAGTTCTGCTTTGGTCTGTGGCAGAACCAACCACATGGCTCCCAACTGTTTCTTTTGGAAGAAGGAACCGACTAAACCTGCTCCTAAAGGAAATGGATCCAATAAAGTTAATATGATTGAAATGAATCCAACCTTTTTCAGGTTAGCCTCTTCATCTCATCTTGTAAATTCTATAACTTCTTCCACTGATTGATATTTGGATTCCGGAGCAAATATCCACGTCTGTAATGATCGCTCTTGGTTTTCAAATTATCAGGAATCAAGTGGAGGAAGCATAAGCTTAGCAGATGACTTAACTAAATCAATAATAGGAAGTGGACGTATAGAGCTCACCATGACTTCTGGGAAAGCTCTTCATCTGCAAGGCGTTTATCATATTCCTTCTCTCCGTCGCAATCTGATTAGTGAATCTCTTCTTCTTAGAGATGGTTATAGGATTGTAAAAGAATCCAACAAATTTGTGATTACAAAGAGTAATGTTTTCATAGGAAAAGATTTTATCTGCAATGGCCTTTTCAAACTCAATGTAACCAATTCCAGTTTTAATAAAATTTCTGAGTCTTCTGTTATACAAATTGTTGAATCTTGTGATGTCTGGCATGGACGACTTGGACATGTCAATTTTCAAACCTTGCAGAGAATAAGTAAATTAAACCTTATTCCCAAATCTTCTCATGATACCTCATCTAAGTGTGAAATCTGTGTTCAAGGGAAACACACTAAATAACCCTTCAAGTCTATAACTAGAAACTCCAAACCCCTTGAATTAATTCATAGTGATGTGTGTGACTCAAACCGAGTTCACACCCGAGGGGTAGGAGATATTTTATGACTTTTATAGACGATCACTCTAGATATTGTTACACCTATCTTCTCAAAATTAAATATAAAGTCTTAGATAGGTTTAAGATGTACAAAGCTAAATCTGAGAACCAACTTGACAGGAAGATCAAGATTCTAAGATCTGATTGTTAAAAATTTATAGCATGTTTAAAATGCGTGCATATTCACTAGCACAAGGGGATAAGGGTAGGTTTTAGATGATTTCACTCTAGATATTGTTATACCTATCTTCTCAAAACTAAAGATGAAGTCTTAGATAGGTTTAAGGTGTACAAAGCTGAATCTGAGAACCAACTTGACAGGAAGGTCAAGATTCTAAGATCTGATCATTGGGGGAGTATACCTCAAATCATATGACTGAATATTGCCAAGAACATGGTATTATTCATGAGGTTACTACTCCCTATACACCACAGTCTAACGGGGTAGCTGAACGAAAGAATAGAATCCTAATGGACATGGGGAACTGTATGTTACTCAGTTCAGGAGCACCTGAAAATCTTTGGGGTGAAGCTCTTCTTTCTGCTTGCTTCATTCTCAATAGGATTTCCCAGAAAAATTCTGATACAACTCCTTATGAATGCTTGCTTCATTCTCAATAGGATTTCCCAGAAAAATTCTGATACAACTCCTTATGAATATTGGAAGGGGAGATCTCCTAATCTGAATTTCTTCCGGGTTTGGGGTTGCTTGGCTAAAGTAGATATTCCCCAACCTAAGAAGAGAAAAATTGGGTATAAGACTGTAGATGCTGCTTTTATTGGATATGCACTAGATAGTAATGTTAACAGATTTCTAGTCATTAACTCTGAAATTAGTGACATATCCAACAATACCATCATTGAAGCAAGAGATGCAGACTACTTTGAAAACAGCTTTCCTTTCAAATCTAAAATCTCAGAAAATCCCAGATCATCCCTTCCTTCTGATCTACCATCTTCCAGTTCTTCTCAACCTCTTGATATTGAACCTCTTCCAGTCCTTTCAATATCTTCTCACTGAACTTCCTTTGGTCCCTAAACTCTCTCCTCCTATTTCCATTCACTCTGATTCTAGATCTACCATAGAGCTTCTAAAGCAAGTACATGTAAATAAAAAACATAACAGACATATTCAAATAAGATATAAGTCTGTACAATGCCTGTTAGGCAAAGTGGTGACCTTGGACTTTGTAAAGTCTGAGAAAAATCTTGCTGACCCTTTGACTAAGGGATTATCCAGGAGTGTGGTTCTGGATTCATCGAGGGAGATGGGGTTAAGCCCATAAATGAGGTCACTGACAGCGGCAACCCAACCCTTATTTGGAGACGTAGTCCCAATGTCGGTTCAATGTGGTAGAAACAAGCTGGACAAGTAACTCTCGTGTGGAGCATCGACCTAGATATATTTATATATCATTATGTAGCATTTGCTACTACCCCTTCTCTATGATGATGATGCTCTTATGATACAGTTGGCTAGACTGAGTTTTACTCTTAATAAGTCCAACGTGTGTATTGTGAGGGTGTTAAATAAATAGCTGTAGTATCCTTTGAGGACTTACCTACGTGAGAGGAACCGTGATAGCCGTGGTTGGGGAGGGGGGGCAGGGCTGACCCCTAGAAATTCTCATGAGTCAGTTTTTTGTGAGCATGACCTTTAACGCTCAACCCGCTTAGCTCAATA